TGCCTTGGAGACTCCCTTCCCTACTCTGCTCCGCGGCGCCTCAGCTCCTCTGGGTGCGATGGCCCGGCCTATTGCAAGCAATGCAGCGCCCCTTAAACGGCGCGGCAGCTGCATTCGTCGCAACGGCATGTATGGTGGCGTGCTCGATCGGTCCCCGAGGACGATGTCCGTAGTAGGACCCCGGTCTCGGACGGCGCAAAATGTCGATTTTCTCGGCGAGCGCGAGAATCTCGTTGAAGTTCGAGAGCCCGCGTAGCATGATCTCGTGCGAGATGTCCGGCTTCAGCCCTCCGACGTAACGGTCCACCCGCTCCGCTTCGTGCATGTAGCCGACTTGCTCGCATAATGCGAGAAAACCGCTAGTGTAGTCTTGAACCGACCCGAGCTGCCGCCAAGTACGCAGTCTCTGAGGCGCCGAAATAGGAGCCGCGATCGGCTCGAAGCGCGCCCGAAGCCCTGCGCACCACGCATCCCACGTGCTGTATTGGGCGGTTTCGCAGAATGAACTCCAAGTGACAGCTGGACCTGTGGGCCCTTCCTCTTGCGACGGTGGCTCGTAGGCGCGTGGCGACGTCACGATGACTCGCCACCAGTCCATGGCGGGGCCCCTCAGCAGCGAGACGGCATATCGGATCTTCGGTGCATCTGACTCGACGTAATTCACGTCGAAAAAGACGTTCATCGTGAAGACCCACGATTGAACCGTCGGACCTCCACGCTGGCTCGGGTCGAAGCAGGGCGGGCGTTGCGGCTTGAGTGGCATTGGTGCCATAATGGCCTGTTCGCCACTTGTCGCCGCGAACTCCACGTGCCGACGGGCTTCACGAGGCTCCCGCGGGCTTGGTGCGACCCTGTTTCCCCCCATGCCAGGCATCGGTTGGGCGGCGCCATCACTGGCTGCACCTGAGCGCTGTCCCACGCTGTCGTGTTGTGTTGGTGTGCCGGACGAAATGACGATCGGCTCGTCCGATTGTGCAGATGCATTTGTCGGTGCGTGTGGTGGCGCTGGAGTATTCGCCGTGGATTGCTGACGCGCGGAGTCACGTTCCGCCGTGAGCGTCGCAATTTCGAGCGTCGATTCTTCAACTTGGCGCACCAGACGGTCAAGTTGCTCCTGCGTCAACGTCGCGAGCGTGAATTCGGCCATGGCGGGGGTGTCGGGCAAGCTAAGCGAGAGCCTTTGTCGTGGCCGTGCGTGCTTACGAGAGAGCACTACGAGCGGCGGTGCTGTGTCGCTGAGAGACGTCTACCCCCCCCCAAAAATTGAGATAGTGAGGAAGCGAAGGTGTGGGCGCGGCCCGAGAAGAGATCGTAGGCTCTGAATACCAAGTGTTACGAGTGCAATTGAGTGAGCGAGCGAGAATTACACTATCGAAGCAAGAGTACAATGAGCGAAGGCATGAGCGAAGAATATATAGCGAAACTACAGTGGTAACGGTAATGAACTGTGGTTGTCGCGCGACGGGCTTGGGACTGAGGTTTGGGGAAATGTCGAAGCGGAGGCCCGGAGCGCGGGTTACCCGCTGAGCCGTGAGGTCGGGGTGCGACGTGCGAAGGTGGCGGGAGGATTGTTGATGCGAGGGTTGCGAGTGGTAACGGTGCTGACTGTGGTGCTACAAACTACAGTGGTGTACGCGCTGAACGGGGACGCGAAGTAAGGAAAAGGAATTTTCCTTACATTACACGAACTTAAACGCTACATTAGCACGAATATATGTCAGAGATAGCATGTCCACGAATATCTTCAAGTCTAGAGCAAAGATGCCATATTGTGTATAATGTGCCAGGATAAGTAAGCAGGTGCAATCCCCCACAGGTTACGTGATGATACGGTAGTGTGATAAATACAGGACTGCGTAGAGAGAAAACATCCTACCACACTGTGAACGTTTACTATGCAAACAACGCAAGTTCACATGGGGAGCATATGAGGCTGGTATGGTATGCCACTCATTCATTGTGCACTGACTACATATATAATGTAACACAAGCAAGGGCATGATGCCAAACCAACCGTACACCCTTTTACTGCTTTGCATGCCACCTCAATTTATGTTCTAACTACAGGCCTGTCCTGACCGAATAATACTGTAGCTACTACCACCAACCTGTCAACAGGGCAACAGGAAAATCAGATAAGAAAGATCATATCATGTCGCAAATCAAGCACCTGTTCAGGCCATGGAACTGTGCACTGCACCGGCCAGTCTCAGTGCTTCAAAGCTCCACAACGTTTTAGCTGCAGACCTGTCGAGACATTCTGGAACGTCTGTGAGCTCATCAGAGTTGAATTGAGACAAGTCACAGGAGCCGCCTTTCATCCCATCTGCCACTCGCCTTGCCAACGCACTTCACTGCTCAGCACGAGACGACACCGCTTCCCACTGCATTGCACTCCCCACCGTTACAAATCACCCACTGCTCACCCCCTTCCTCCGTCCCTTACACGCAGACAGCACCCCTCCTCCCATCAAGAAGATGCAAGGGACATCGCCCCCCTGCCCGGCCCCCCTGCCCACTCATCACGTCACCAAGTACCTTCCCGGCTGCACAAGACCCTGCCCATACAGTCCCTCCCTCACAATCCCCAACAACCCCCCACATTCCCCCATCCCCAACGGGTAGCGGCCCTTCCACTCATCACATCACCGAGTATCGCCCCGGCTGCACGGGGTGCTGTGCTGCTGCTGATGAAGTCTCTCACAACCCCCCACAACCCCCCACAATCCCCCACAACCCCCCACAATCCTCCACAATCCCCCACCCCCCCACTCCTTTCCCCTCATCCCCCCTACCCCCTCAGCACGCACAGCACCATATCACATGACGGGTTTGACTTGCCATGGCACGGATTTGGCTTGTGATGGCATGGACTTGACTTGGGATGGCACGGATTTGACTTGGGATGGCACGGATTTGACTTGGGATGGCACGGATATGACTTGGGATGGCACGGATTTGACTTGGCATGGCACGGATTTGACTTGGGATGGCACGGATTTGACTTGGCAAGCCACTGATTTTTGCTCGGCATGACACGAATTTGACTTGGCACGGCATAGCAGCATGATTTGACATGCCAGTGACACAAATGGCAATGTCTTAGGATTCCGAATCTGCCCACTGAATTCCTGAAAACCTGAATACTGATCTGAAAACCTGAATGCTGCCTTGAACACTGACATGAATACGGACCTTATTAGTAACCAAAACACTGACTTAGATGCTGACCTGAAAACTGACTTGACTTGAATCCTGATTGAATACTGGCCTGAACCGCTCCTATCCTTTGTTCCTGGAAACTGGTTCAGCTCTGTACAGAACAGACCTGGGATATCACGAATGCATACAAGAATCAGTCCCAGCTCAAAACACACCCACCCCCTCCGGTTGCTCTGTTCCCCATGTTCAAGCCTCAACCTCACATCACATCAGAAGTAGCCATATGGCTGACCCTGATTGCAAGGTGATTTCCTTTTTTGTCAACTCGAATGTCACTGATGCTCACCTGACAGCATAAGGTACGTGATGCGCATTGCTCATGTCATGCCAGCCACAAGTTCAATAGAGCTGGAATGCTGCGGCCAAGTGTCAACAGCAGTGAGAGGGTTCACCGCAGCCTGCATTCAGCAAAAGGTTAACCCCCACACCACAACCCCCATTGCTTGGCCTCACTGAGGGGGAGGAGTGGGAGGGAGAGGATCAGTGGGGGGGACGGGCGGAGAGGGGGAACTGACGTGGAAGGGGAGGGGGAGGGGGGAGGGGGAGGGGGTAGGGAGAGTGTGAGTGAGTAGTAAGGTAAGAGAAATGGGGCATGGGGTGATGGCTCCGACATGATTTGAATCTCTGAGATGCAATTGCAGTCACATTCTTTACTGGTCATGCGTGAAAGCCCACGCACTGCCCACCGGAAAAGCACATGAGCAACAGAGTGACATAACAAGCATGCTTTCACAACGTAGCATCTACACTTTACAGGGAAGTAGGAGGGAAGCGTTTCCTCGGCGACGACTAAAGATAGTGCGCAGGAGATTCATCATTCATGTGAACCAGCACACGGTTAAAACTAGACTATAATGGCTGTTCCCATGCCATGGCTCGGATTTGACTTGGCATAAGAGCAGTACTTTTGAGAATTCTCAAAAGGAGCATGATCTACTTCAATGTGCAAAACGGAGAACATCTGAGAATTCTTACCCCTGCAGTAAGGAAGAAATCACCGGAATTGGAATCAGAGGTAACGGAAGGTGGAGTTGCAAGATCCCAGCAATGAGACAATGATGAGGAAGTGTTATTCCACAAGAGGACCAATTCTTTCCTGGACAATGAAGACTTGAATACTGACTTGAATACTCACTGAACATTTCCCACCCTGGGATAAGACTCTGACGACAAACTTAAAGCCTAGTGACATCATGAGGTGATGAAACTGGAATGACCTACTCACCAAGCAGCACCTGATGGTAAGAAAGGAAAAAAATCAAAACAACGTTGGTTTATGCATAAGCACTGTTCAAATCCCAAAGAAAGAAATGAAAGGGGGGAGGGAGGGAGGGATTAGATGGGACCAGGTGGTGGTGATACAGACAGACAAGAGATGTCAGGAAGAAGTGCGTTGAAATCATTCCAAGCAGGGGGTAAGAGGAGGGGATGCAGAGGGAAGGAAATGTAACAACACGGAGAGAATCAGACAGCTAGTGCCAGCCGCATTAAGTCACTGCTTCCTGGTTCACCCATCCGCACAAAAACACCACCAACCATACCTTCCTTCCATGCACCACCCAGTCGCAACACACAGACACAGAATGCACATCAACAGCATGTATACGTATAAATACTCCTAGAACAGATTCCTAACCTAGAGCAAAACCTAGTATTATCTTGCACTTCCTACTATCCAAGAGCCAAGCAGGTGCATGGTGCAGCAACAGATCACACAGTCAGGTCAGCATCAGCATTCAGGTGCATCAGCAGAGGATCCAAGGGCATGTCATTCCCCCTCATGCCATGCCTCCCCATTCCAGCTCACCACATTCCTCCACCTCTCCTCCCATCTCTCCCACAACACCCTGCAAGCAGGGTGGAAAAAGGGGTAAGTCCCTCCATGCACCTCCCTCTAGCCCCCACCAGCCATGCCATCTCACCCACCTCATTCGTCCTTCACATCCCCATTCAACACGCCCTGGATCGCATCTGCTGCTGCTGCTGCTGTCTTTTTTTTTGTTAGTTTTCTGTTTCTTTTCTGTTTTTTTCACTCCTTCACTTGGCTGCTACCTTCCCTGGCTTGGGAATGCCACTTGCCGTCGCTCCTGCTGCGGCCCTCCTTGGTGACGCACTGCTTGCAGGTCTGGGGATTCCGGATGCGCCATCAAGAACCTTTGCACTTGCAGCCTTCACATCTACCGTCGCAGTAGGGCCTGCAGGTGTCACCTTAGCTGCTGTCGCCTTAGCTGGCACGGCCTTGGTTGGTGGCGCCACCTTAGTTGGCGTTGCCTTGGCTTGGGTCACCTTAGATGGCGCCGCCTTAATTGGCGTCGCCTTAGCTGGCGTCGCCTTAGCTGGCGTCGCCTTAGTTGACGTCGCTTTGGCTGGGGTCACCTTAGCTAGCGTCGCGTTAACTGGCTTCGCCTTAGCTGGCGTTGCCTTAACTGACGTCGGCTTAGCTTCCGTCGTCTTTGCTGGTGTCGCCTTAGCTGCCGTGGCTTTGGCTGCTGCAGCTGCGACGGTCGCTTGACCGCTGTGCACCGCTCTGGGCTTCACAGCAGCAGCGGTACCCATCACATCCCTGGGCCTGGGCTTCTTGCTGGGCGGCTTAGCCACGGGCTTGGGTCGCAGAGGGGAGAAGCCGAGCGACGCACGGGGGGGGTGCGTAGCGCACTGCTCTTTCTCGCTGAAGCGCCCCACGCGCCATGCAATCGCGCGCCGCCACATCTTCAAGACGTTAGCGCCGCGGCGCGTGCTGCTGAAGCTACTGCTGATGCCGCACACCGCAGCGGATCCAACAAGAGACGTGGTGATCCGAGATGCCATCAGACTACGAGCGAGAGGCTAATCGCACAGGCAGAACGAGAGGCGAAGGTAGGAGCTGAAGCTGATCGAAGTTCCGAGGAGCTAGAAGCTGAGTCTGGGAGTTGAAGGAATAAGGAGATTGCAACTGTTGTTGTGGTGGGAATGAAGAGGACGGGTGGCCTTTGTAGTGTTTGAGAAGGGAGGAGGTTCCAAGGCGGAGGGAAGAGTGGATTGAGCTCGACTACGGAGAGAAGCAAATCTCTAGGCTACGCCTGCTGCCCGAACGGAGAAGAAAGACGAAAAAAAATTCCCCGAAAAGTGCTCTGATTCCGCTCTGTCTATGTACGCGAACCAAAGCGGACGATCAGCCAAATCAGCCAATCGGAGGAGACCGAGTTTGCTGCTCCAAGCCGAACCTCGAAGCCCTTGCATTTGGCCCGCCAATGAGAGTAGTTCGAGACCTCTGCTCCAAGCCGAAACTCGAAGCCCGGAACTGTCGGTTGACACCATTGCGGCTCGTTCATCTACATTCACGGAGTTTCTGGGCAGCAGGCTCAACTGTAGCTGCCCAGATATATACGGGACGAATTTTCCGTTACGCTCGTCCGCTGCCCGTGGTCTAGGAAGGGGTTCGTCTTACAACAAAGACGGCTCGAGGCTTTTGCTGGTGTTTGACTGGATGACTTGCTCGAGGCTGCTCGAGAATCTCTCCGTTCAGTTCCATCAACGGCGGAAATCGTTCATGAAAACTGAAATCGCCGCCTCACAGCGGCGGGTGAACGCGACTGCGACGGCCCCTGTTGCGTCGTAGACGGAAACTAATGCCGCTGCCGCCAGCAAATCAGTCCCGCAACAATGCATTTCTTGGGAACTACGCTCCTAGGGTTCCGTCACTCGTGGTTCCGACCTGACATTTCGTCTGGCTTGCACGCAAAGAGTGATGCGATACCTGCACATGTATGCAATGGCATTATACTTCTTGCCCTAAAGAGGTTGATATTAAGAGGTTCATGAATCATGTAAAACAAAAACCTGTCAACAAAACCACCTTGAATATTCTTCAAAAGTGTCTATGTAGTGGCTTTAAAAACAAACATATTTTATTATATTCTCACACCAGCATCACCAATGGAACCAGCAGCACCTGCTAAAGGGCCATTAGCGTTCTTTTGGTAGCTCTGGTTATGGCGACACTTGAGCACCTCGTTTGCCAGCCGCTGCAGCCTGGACGTCTCTGCTAGGCTGTCAGTCACTGCCCGAGGGACCTTGGTGCTTCCAGCTTTCACAAGTCCTTTCTCTCGCTGTTCTTGCACACTTGGCCAACCACGCCGGCAGATTCAAGCATGGTTACCAAGCCAGATAACTCTGCTACTACTTCATTGGACACACTCCCGGAAGGTAAAGCATCAGCAGACTTCATGGTTGCAGCAGCAACCAATTCAACAGCAGTCTTTGTGACTAGCAGGTTCGTAGGCACGGCTGGCACTGGGGTAGGAAGGTCTCCCGCCACCATCTCCGGTATGTATGTCAATTCAGATCAACACCTGGCATCACGTGCTGATAGCATGATGAGCAGATGAGCTAGGAATAAAACACTAGCATCATCAGCTGACGAATTCGCCATGAGATGCTGCAAGCATCATGAGCAGGTGAGCTTGGTTGGCTGATAAACTGGAATCAGCAAGCATCATGCGCTGATGCCTTCAGCACGCGTTACTGGACTCATCAGAAGCATCTGAAAATGCCAGAGGATACTCATGAAGTGAAGAAATTGGAATGAAATACTGATGGGATCATGAGTTGAAGAGACTATCGTGAGATGCTGAAGAGGACGCGATCGTGAATGCACCATCAGCTGGCGAAATTGCTGTGAAATGCTGAGAGCACCATGAGGAGGTGAACTTGGAATAGGTACTGGAACCATCAGGCGTTGATTGAACTAGCATGAGCTGCTGCTGCAAACAAACATCATAGGCTTGTCAAACCGCAACAAAATACACGGATACCAGAGGATTGTGACTTGATGAAATTGGCAAGAGATGGAAAAGCATGATGAGCATATGAACTTGGCACTAGATACAGAACACATCAGGAGCTGCTGAAATTCACATGAGATACGTAAGGCATGACGCGATGATGAGATTGACGAGAGCGACAAGAAGCATGAGGGGTGGATGAAGTGCATGCTGAGCTGACGAAATTAGCATGAGACATTTGCGGGTGGAATTGGGCATGCGACGCTAAAATCACTACCTTAAAGAAATGAATGACACGAGAACCTCAGAGTATAAGCTGCTGGCATACAACACTGAAAACATCATGAAATACTGACAATAGCATCAACTAGCTATTGACAGTGGCATGAAATACTGACAATAGCATCAACTAGCTATTGAATGTGGCATACATTACCAGTTTCCTTTGCGATGTCAGCTGTGGGAATGGTGTGAAAAACCAGGCGTGCTGGCAGCATCACTGCTGGTTGATTTCCACATAGATTAGAAAGAAAGGAGGGAGTCAGATGGAAGTAGGAAAGAGTGTGGAGACATACACAATGGAGGAAGGGGGAGGGGGAAGAGGAAGTTTGGTCTGAAGAGAGGGAAAGAATTTGGAGACATCAACACAATGTGGGAAGGGGGAGGGGTAATTGGGAGCAATATGGATAATCAAGCACATTCCAATAATTTCTCAAATCAGTGCAGTAGTTAGGCCTCTAGAGGGGCCTTTGAGAAATATATACCCAAGTGGTGTGAAGAGGTGAAGGGTGGTGATTGATTGGTAGCGGACGGAAAGGAAGTTGAGCGGGCAGGAAGGAGGGGAGTTGTGATCACATAACGGAAAGATCGTTGAAACTAAGAAAAGGGCAGAGAGGGAGGCACTTGAACTATGAACACTGATTCACTGAACCACAGGGCAACATAGACTAGAAGATATTTTCTGAACTGAAGTTTAATCTGTTGAAGCTGGAGGTAATATAAGCAAAAGACGTCAATGGAAAGGGAAGGCATCAGCTGATGCGTTTCATCATCAGCACTTGAAGGGTTCCAGAAAAAGCAAGTGAGCATGAGCAAGTGAGCATGAGCAAGTGAGAATGATGACATGAGCCGATGAATCACCATTTATGCTGCTTCAAAAGAGCAAATACACAAATTCTGACCTGGACACTGACCTGAATTCTGAGTGGATTAGCTGAATTGGAAGATATATACAAATCAATAAGTCCTGGTTCAGATGGAAGCCAACCTTGTTTTGAGAAAACATGTTGCTATGCTTAGAGAAAGGTAGAAGTGCATGAAACAGATGTATCACATAATTTTCTTATTCGACAGAACAGTGACACAGTGACACTCCCCCTCCACCCTTCCTCCCCCACTGCTGCATTACTATTTAGTTGGAAGCATTTTTTGCCAGTCAAGCCCCCAGCTCTCAGTCCCTTGCTTGAAGTGATTTGCGTCCACACAGGGTATTGTTTCCTCTCAGCCTCTCAGAGATTTGTACCTGAATGCTGACTGGATACCTCAATGCTGACTGGACACCTGGATACTGACTGGACACCTTAATGCTGACTGGACACCTGAATGCTGACTGGACACCTGAGTGCTGACCTGATACTTGATTGTTGATCTGATACCTGAATGCTGACCTGACACCTCAATGCTGACCTGGCACCTGAATGCTGACCTGGCACCTGAATCCTGACCTGAACAGCTCCAAACATGACGTCCGGCTGGACCAACGCGGAACGAATCAGAGCTGGAAAATCACGAATAATACGAGAATCAGTCCCCACTCAAAACGCACCCACATTCTCCCGTTTCTGTTTCCCATCTTCATGGTTCAACCTCGCATCAGAAGTAACCACATGGCTCACCTGATTGATATTGCAACGTGATTTTGTGGTCTTGTCGAGTTTCACCGAAGCTCACCTTGTTGCGGGGCAGCAGAGAGCAGTGAAAGCGGGCGAGTGTCAGTCGCAGTCCGAATAAGGACCCGAGGAACTTTGCCTCACTGACGGAGGGGGAACAGGAGGGAGAATATGGCGAGAGAGAGGGGCATGGGGAGGGGGGAGGAAGGCGGAGAGGGAGGGGTAAGGGGCAGGGTGAGGGTGAGTGGTAAGGTAAAGAGTGTGGGCATGTTGAGAGTAGATTAACTCATGGTTTTGAAGCCTTGAGCTGCAATAACGGCTACAGTGCTTGCTGGTGAACCTTGGATTCGAATCCCACAGCAGCACACATGAACAAATAGAGTGACAAGCACGCTTTCACAATGTGTCACGTGCATTTTACAGGGGATGTACAAGGAAACATAGTGTGAAGGAGATCATGTGAAGCAGCACATCATTACAAGCATCATGCCAAGCAGCACACTCATGCCAGGTTAAGGATATGGGGCGTGAAGTAATGAGAGTGATGATTTTCAAGCTATGAGCTGCAATTACGATCACAGTGCTTACTGTTACTGATGCTTGAAATCCCACAGAAAGGCATTCAAAGTCACAAGCATAATTTCACAGTGCGCCAAAGGAATTTTACAGGGGAAGAAGAAGCAAATGCCTCCTTGGTGAGGCGATTGAACATGATGTGAAAAAGATCATGCCAACTGAGGCATTCATGCCAACTGACACATTCATGCCAACTGACACATTCATGCCAACTGGCACATTCATGCCAACTGACACATTCATGCCAACTGACACATTCATGCCAACTGACACATTCATGCCAACTGACACATTCATGCCAACTGACACATTCATGCCAACTGACACATTCATGCCAACTGACACATTCATGCCAACTAACACATTCATGCCAAACAGCACATTCATGCATGCACGTGCCTCTTGTAACATGAACAACCGTGCACACAAAAATGTGAGACATTCTCATGCCATACGCCCCTCAGCTGCCCTAAACGACAAGATTATCAGCCCATACAACAGGTAAAGCTTCTTAGTCATTGCAAATGGTGACTTAACATTGCAATATGTACACATCAATTATCATAATAGCATCTAATCT